GCACTGTAAGCAGTGATGCAAAGCTATCCTACAGCAGTGGGCTTTGTACACCGCCCTGCTGTGGACTGAGAACCGATTATTTTTTTATTTTTTATTTTTATTTTTTTTAAAAAAAGACAACAACTGTGCAAGTAGAAGCTCGGTAATTAGCAAATTCACCTCACATAGGACACATCAGCTAAATTGCCTTTATTTTACAGAAAAGAAAAAAATCTACAAATAACTCCAGTAGATAAGCTAGTGATATAGGAATTACATGGGACAACAGAACATGAAAATTTCTTTGTCACTGCCTGCTTACAATAAAGCTTCAGTTGTGAGCTAGTCTGTAAATGACTGCTTATCATTATCAAGAAGTCAGTAAAGACTTAGTATTGTTTACCTATTCACTATGAAAATTTTCCTATGTTCTCTCCCTTCCCATCAAAGAATTGATCAATGTCCAGCATAGCCCAACTACTGCTTATATGGGCTGGAAAGCTCTTGTCAAGTTGAACTGAGCTCATAATTATGACAGGAATCGACAAGCCATATAATCAAATGGATAGCAAAGGTGATAAAAATCGCTAAATACAGAATTTGATGGAAACAAAAATACTCTGACCAACTATAAACAAATTAATATAGATTAAGAATTTATTAAAAAATTTGATTAAGGTTGCATTTCTTGGTGTCTGATCATAAGGAAAACTATTTTTTATTTCATGTATTTGCAGAATTTCTATATATTTCTGAGATTGATCCAAATTTTCTTCTGTAAGCCTCTACTTTCTGCAGAGGTTTGAGGATCACCACATTAAAATATTCCAAGTATTTAATTTGTGAAGTTTTGTTATGCCAGTTTTATGTAGGAATAATAAGGAACAATACAAATCAAATCTGGAAATCATATCATATAATTTCAGAGAATATTACAGTTACACTACAGTTAACTAACCTGAATATTAGATGGTACGCTCAGTTCTTCTGCTATTTAATCTTTCTAATCATAATCCATAAAGCCAAGAGACACTTCTATGCATTTGAAAAGGCTCAGATTTCATCAAGGAATAGAATATGTCCAAGCATTTCATCCCTGAGGGAACAGAAGCTGTGTATGTTTAGCTCTGAGAAGTGGTCTACTCTTGGCATCTGTCCTAGGAGAAGATGCAATAAAATTTTTTTACTCCACACTTGAGTAGTACAGATTGCACATAAATCTGAAATTCTTTTTCAAAGTAAAGTTGCAGATTTGTTTCTGTTTAGCTACTTGAATTTCTGTTGGTACTACGATCTGCATGGACAGGCCCATTCAGAAGATCAGGGCTTTTCTCATGGGTACAGCCCACAAAATTGGAGAAGCTAATGTTTTGAACAGATGGCTAGCAAAGTACTGTGTTTTTTCTCCTTTTCCCTGTTGTCTACTCCCTGCTACCACATAACTGTGGTTTCAGCTGAAACACACTACTGGATTGGTCCTGCTGGCTTATGACCAAGAAGAGTACACTCATGCACACTGATGTAGGTCTTTGTCCTGTCTTAGATCTCACTAAAGTCCTCATAGTGTCCCAGAAAAGCATTCTACAAATGCTTGATTTCCATTTTCCTTGTGTGTTCTTTTAGCTTCTTCTGTAGCTATCGATGTTCTTACAGAAAAATTTCTCAAATGTACCAATTTCCAGAATACGCTCACAGCTTAGCTTACAGAGTAAAACATAAAGGAAGTATTAAAAAATTATTTTGTATTTCATAATTCATGATTTAATTAAATACCCAGATAGGTTTTTAATATTTCAAGCCAGAAATAAATCTATATTCTCCAAACTTTCAAAGACAGCTACAGTATAACAGACAGGAAGCACGTATGGACCAAGTCTTGGCTCTGAGTGTGTTTAAGTACTATTTTGCCCTGGTTAAAAATCCCCCCTTTGAACAGCTGCCTCCATTATTGCATTTCTCTGTTTGACACTCAAAGATTTCTTTTTATCAAGCTGTTTTGAACTTCAATATAGAATTTCCATTTTCATTAAAACTAGGTGACAAGTAGCAGTGATATCTTCAAAAATTCTCTCCAGCTTTCTTTCATAAATTTTTGCAGTGAAAACAAAATTTTATAAAAATACAAAGCTAGCCAATGAGACACTTTTACTTTAAAAAGGAAAAAGGCTGAGAGACTGAATAGCTCAGTAATGAGCTTCAGATTGGCATTGATTTTATATGGGAAATTCCTAAGTAGGATGATTTTGCATGACATAAAATTTAGAAAGTTTTATAGTTTATACCTAGATAGAAAGGTAAAATGATATGTAGCTATTAAGCTGAGGAAAGGCTTAATAACAGAGAAGACTGGCTTGTATTGTCTTTTGCACTTGCAGTTATCCCCATGTATTCTACCTCCCTTGACCCACACGCAGCATACAACCCAAGTTTAAACTGTTTTCTTCCACATAAAAAACACATTTTGTACATTGGTATATTCTCACAGATATTTTCCTTTTATTCTCATATTAATCACCTGGCTATATTGTTTACACCATTATAAGCCACCAGCAACATTTTAGAAAGAACAAAATACATTATTTTTTGTATAGTGCTTCGTAATAATTTTGATACCAGAGAATCAGCAAGACAGATCTACAAAGACAGGCTATGTACAAAGTAATGCCCCTTCCTTCTCATTTCTAGCAAGGAAATTAAGTACAGACTGCAAATGCACCTGAGAAGTCTTGAAAATGAGTAAGAAAAAAAGACTTAGAAGTGAGTGCGACCACTTCTCAACTATTTCAGATAAGCTTTCTCATATATCAAAAGAATGACTGCTCTAAAGAAAAGCTGTCATTTTAAAATAACAGTGCAGTGTTTTTCAGAAGTAACCAATATATCCTGACTGTGCTTTCTGTTGGATTGGCAATATATTATTGGTGGATATGAACATCAATCTGTGGTTTGCTAGCCTCCTTCGGAAAAAGAAGCTTAAGCTGGAGATCATATCTGAATTAAGCTAGATTGACCAAACACTGTGTGATTTACCTTATTAGGAAAGATGGCTGATAGCAGATTCCATGTCTGCATTCCAGATGATTGCAGTTAACCACTGATGAGCACATGGAAATTGCAATACAGTACTTTAAAAGATGAACTATACTATTGTTTCATTTTCTAGAAGAGGCTTAACCTCTTTGTAAATTTAAGCTAGAAGGAGAGTAGGAGGAAGAGATTGCCAAGACCGCCTGGGCTGCTCCATCACGCCTGTGTAAGGAAAGGTGTTAGGGGCCTTGTAGCAGGAAAGGGGAAAAAGCAGAATCAGCTCCATAATGAAACATGATCCCTCAGTGTGAAAACTTCTGCTGTGCAATTCCCAGACAAGTTCAATTAATAAATGTGTGGTCTAAGTAAACCACATCCCTCCATCTTCTTTCCTGCTTTCAGCTCCAGGACAATGGAGCCTGTGTGGTAGCCGCTGCTTAAATATCACTCTATTCATCACATAATACTGAAAATATATGAGGCTCTTTCACTTAAGGACAGGTCAGGTGCTGAGCATTTTGGAGGGCAGTAATGCTGTCAAATTTAATAACAAGAATTTAGAAGTGATCTAGCAGTTTCTGCTCACAAAATGAGTTTTATTTCACTCAGGTCTTGAAGCAGAATTCCAAGGCCATTAGCTTCCAATACTGGAAAATATAGTGGCTTTATTTATTTATTTATTTTTTAAACTGTGATTTAACTCAATCAATTAAAGACCAAGTTTGTGGATTATTACTTTTTCAGTACAAATACTATAGGGCTCTTTAAGGACTTAGGAATGTATTTTTAGGATCTAGATAGTTGGTATTCAGCTCAAAGAGACAGGAAGGGAATATAAAAAGCAGATACGTCTTCTCATCGCAGGACTTCTTAACATGCCCTTTTGTGGATGGCAGCTCAGAGTTTACTGAGCTGATGGTTAGCTGCAGCAATGCATAGCTCTTGTTCCACACTATCTTTGTCTGTTTATCCCAGGGAAAACATAAGAAGATGATATTAAATGTTCCCTCTAACCCAAGCCATTCTATGATTCTATGATATATATGTTGTGTGACCATTCTTAGATCATCCAGAGTCTGTGCAGTCATCTTTTCCAGCTTGGCAGTGAGTGGGCATTTTACCCTTCCTCCTCATCAGGAGACACACACGGCACACAGTCCACATAGGCTTCTACTGGCTTTCTTCTTCTACTATTTGTTTTCTCAAATAGAGAACTACTATCATACATCACTGTCATAACCTTTACACCATTCCCAATTTCATAGTAGCATAGACCTACCCAAATGTGACTTGCTGGTCTCCCAGACATTGAGGCAGCCTTTGGGATGCACTGCAATTTACCTGCTGTGCCAAGTACTAAGAGCAAAACAAAACGAGCCTAGTTCAACTTTTCTTTCTCATGAGTCACATGGATGTTTTTCTGTCTCGTGCTTCAGGATTTTCATGCAACTCAAGACTTCCCTAATTTTTCAGCAAATTCTTATCAGCCTCAACTGCCTAACACCATGTTCCCTGTCAGTTCACAGATTATCACAGACATCTATCTGGAGAACTGTTTTTGTGTGTAAAACGTCTAGAAGCTGCAATCCTCAGCAACTTCAAGGGCTCCCCACCCATCATCTCTGGGCTGTATGGCTAGCTGCACTGTTTCTGCATTCTCCCCAGCCTGAGGAGTTATAACCACCTCTATACCAAGACTTCAGCAGCTCTCAGCTCTCTCTTAAACCATTTGATAAATAAGTATGAAACATCTCTGCATAGCTTCTGGGGGAAAACTTGTTTGATTCCAAATAAAAGATAAAATGTAAGTTTTTGGCTTACAAGATTAAGTTCTCTTCTCCTGCCTTGCCTTCACCTACACTTTTTTTTTTTTTCCTCCTCCCTTCCCCTCCAGTAGGGATATTCATGATCATGTTAAGCTCAAAGGATGAAAACCACAAGTAACAGAATTACGACAATCTTTGCTTAAATCACAACTGTATGATGCCAAACACATTTTCTGTAGGTATTTATTCACTCTTGTTAAAATCATTGCAAATAACAGTCCATTTAAAATGCACAGTCACTGGCAGAAAGAAAAGCAAGAGCACTGTGAGCTGTTTGAAGCATGTAAAAACATCACTGGAGATTATCCACTTGCATTGCTTAAAATTAAACTTACATTGATCACTACTTCAAAGAAAGGCAATAAGATGCTTGTAAACCAATAAATAATTTTTATTCTTTTTACATAAATGATATGAGTAATTCATTAAAATTAACACTCAGGATTGGCTCATTTATTTTTACAGCACTCAAAAAAGTGAAACCATTGATTGAAGGCTAATATTAACTACTCTGCCTTACACCACGATTTGTACTGAAATCTCCTCTGAACCATAAACAAAGGTAATTATGAAATAAATTATTGTGCTACGGATGAGGTGGTGGAGTAACCGTCCTTGAAGGCTTTCAAGAAAGAGTAGATGTCACACTGAGTGACATGTTGTAGAATGGTCACAGGCATGGCCTGATGATGGTTGGACTAGATAATCTTATTGGTCTTTACAACCTTAATGATTCTATGATTCTATGATTCTCTATGGCATTTATAATGTTCAGAGTGAACTCACTTCTAAATCTTACTGTGAAATATATATCCAGTCAACTTACATGATCATAATGATATCGACCAGAGAAATACAGACAGTGTCAAAAGAGCTACCCAAAGCAGCTCTCCGATATGTGTCCTTGTATATGTTTCATAGTTACTCTTCCTTCTGTCTTCCATCTGTCTTCATAGTTACAGCTTCAGCATGGGCTGGCAGGCTGTGTCATGGCTTGCCTCCTTGCTGAGCCTTTGTGAAATGTAGTAGAAGATCTTAGCTTGAGCATTCCATAACTACTGGAATTGAATCAGCTAATATTCTCCAAAAGTGAAGCATTCAAAAAAAGTTCTTACTGTAAACAAGAATATGGATGTCATAGCTTTAAATTATTCACAAGGGCATATGCCTAAAAATCTGTATTTCAAAGAGATTGATTTAGGAATGTTAGTTGCATAGACACTGTAATAGCTGCATCCCTAAAGCCTATCTGGTTGCCCTCAGAAGTTTAATATTTTGCTTACCAACCTTTGGTGTTTGAGACTAATCCAGGTACAAGAGACCCAGAGAAGCAGGATTGCATGACATAACAGTTTTGCTTCCCACCCCCCATCCCCCCTCCAAAAAAGCTAGCAGCTGAGAAGGGTGAACTCTCTACCTACTTTTGCATGGATTTTCGTCTTCAGATTAGATCTCAAGACAACAGAACACTGAATATAATGAAAAATATTTTCTGGACTTCCTTTTACCCTTTCTGCACTGTTCTGAAGACTATATCCTTTTAATAAGTAGAACTATATACTACCAGAGTAATCAGCCAGATGTTCCTGTTCCATCTATTCTCAAGTAACCATAACAAAAAAGAAAAAATACCTTCCCTCAATAGCCTGTTGTGTCTCAATTTTTAACTGAACACTTATTTTAAAAATATTTAGTGTCATACAATACTGAAAAATATAATCACAAAATGAAAACCCCAAGGGACTAGAAGTACTAAATTCAGCTTCTAGATCAACAGCAAAAATGCAACACAACAACAAAAAAATTAAATCCAATTATTAATAAAGACCACAACACACACACAAATTAGCTCTGTTGTCTGCATTAGCAAATACTTCATTTTTTTTAACTGTGTAAGAAAAGATATAGCTGATAATAAGCTTTGAACTTCAAAAAAAAAAAAAAAATAAAATCACAATCCAGTTAAAGAAAGAAAGATTTGCTTACCTGTCACAAAGATAAGGGCTCATCAGATATTCAGAAAGAAGGGACTTCCAGGTAGAAAACCTCCCATTGTAGCAGCCAGCTTTTAAATGAGGTATAAGGAGGTGAACTACTTTCACCTGTGCTCTCAGGGCAGGCTGCATCCCTTCACCAGGTGCTCAATCATCGGTTCAGGCCATTACTTAGCAATTCCCATACAGTTGTATAACAATATCTTCATACATATCATGTTTTGAACTTCTTGACTAATAAAACTAATCTAGTTACACATGACTGATTTCAAGTGAAGACTGACTAATCACTTCAATCATATATTACTCTTCTTGCTTCTTGAGTGAATAGATAGAAATGCTTTCTTACGAACAAGTAAATTGTAAAGACAATTTCTGAGATGAATTTTCAGACAAGCTATAAACATGTTTGAAATGCATACTTATGAATAACGTCATAAGTAACAGAACAGTCATGATGAACAGATGATGGATGTTTGCAAATATAATGGAAATCTTTTCCATCCACATGAGTATCTCAAACTCGTTATTATCAGTTATTTAACTGGCTTACTCTCTTGTGTTGTACCATTTTGCTCTATTCAGTATTGTTGATGTATGTAAGAAGGTTATAAAGACATGTGATATAAGAAAGCCTAGAAGCAAGACTACCAATAATTGATGTAAGCCAATACTTACTTTATACATCCTGATTTTGCTATTTAAACTTTGTAATGGCAATATTCAATTAATAACATTTTTAGTTATCTGTGAAGATAAAGGTATTTGTATTTTCTTGGCCAACTACTTCATAAAATGGGAGTTGTATATGGTCTGTGGATAAAGTTCAAGAACCAAGAACCTTGACTTCCCCAGAGAGAAGACAAAACCAAAAGTCCATCTTTAAAAGAGATGCTTTAGAACTTTTAGGTCACTATTTAAAGTTTGAGCCAAATGTAAAAGTTATTTACACAAGGAAAACTTGGAGCATGGCTGTAGTCACACTACCTAGTAGTGGCTACCTCACTAGGATAAAGCAAGTAACATGCTTCATTGGAGGAAAGCTGCTGTTCCTCACCCCTAGAAATAAACGTGCAGCTGGAGTGGACGGGAATACACAATGCCAATGACAGAGGAGAAAAAGACACAAACGTGAGCTAATAAGAGCCTCATAGCTCTCATTCAAAGGAGAAAAACCGAATTGTAAAAGTAATTGGTGGCTTCCACCTAGTGGCAGTGAAAAGACCCATCTGACTCTCACCCCGCATGTTGCTACTCAAAATGTTATTGACAGCTTGAAGAGGCACATATGGGCTCCTGGTATACTGGCGTGAGCCTAAGCAGACCAAAAGAGAATACAGTGCTCTGGCTTTGACAGGGGTTACTCTTATCAGTTCTCAAAGGGAAAATTCAGGGTTCAAATAGGGATAAAGGCAGCTCAAGGATAAATATGACTGTATCAAAAATGTCAGCAGCAGGGCTTTGTTTTTCCTAAGTGTGGGATGATATTCTGTGAAACACTGATTGAGGATAGAGGCCCCAAAAGAAGACAAGCAGGAGTATCTTTGCAGACTTCCAAATGAAACACATAATGTTTTAAATTAGGATGGAGGGGAGAAATTCCTCCAGGTATTATGAAAAAGACAGAGGCTTAAACGTAAGTGGCATAAAGTTATGCACACCGAAGTCAAAAGAGAGAGAAGTTGTGATAAGTGCATCTGTCCATTGGCTTTACTCCAACACAAGGAAGTCCTAATACATGACCCAAAACAGGATTTTAACTGGTATAAAAAGGAGATTGTCTGCTTTTTATGTCAGGATTATTAATATGAATGAAAAGAATGAAAGAAACAACCTAAATTATTTTAAACATGCTTGTTTTTTATTCACAGAATAAGAAACGATGTCTTAACTGTCAGTAGGGAAAAGGGGAGTTAAAACTGTGAGAAAAAATCCATGGAGTTTATGGACTCTCCAAAAAGCAGCAATGTTTAGGAACATTTCCAACGTGTGTCAAAAATAACACAGACACAGCTGCTGCTGTCTGAGATAACATGAAATCCTGGGATCCCGGTGGGACAACAGTTCTGTGATCTCCCTGTAAACCTAAAGTGTGGTAAAATGATTAAGGGAAGCACCAGAACTATTTAGAATACAGGAATATCATTTGGTGAAAAGTTTCCAAGTCTGGGTTGTTTGGGATTTTTTTTTTTTGTTTATTTGATTGGTTTTGTTTGTTTTTTTTTCCTATCAGAAATCAAGACTCATGACACAAAGAGAGAGTCCTCTAATGGGCTGGTTAGAACAAAACTGATTAAACAGTATGTGGAGGACTCAGTAGAGCTCTCTGCAGCCCAGTGCGTTTCTGCTTTGTCTGGTTTGGGGAAAAATGTTTATTGTTAGATCACTCTACTTTATAAATGGTGAAATAACCCCTACTCAGCACCTGGGCTTTATGCTTTCAGGTGGATCATTTTTAGCCAGATATTGTATCCAGGGCTTACATACAACAGCTATTTCAGGTGATGTTGTTTCTGTCTTTTAAACAGATGCAGAACTGCAGAAATTTTCTCAGATAATATTTTCTGATAAATAAAGTTTCATCTGAAAGTTTCTGCCCCTTTCCGGAAGTGAAGTAATACAATGGTGACATATATTCATATGTTGCTGCTGCTCTGACTCCAAAATATTTTGCTGACTGAATCCAGGTTTGCAAGTGTTGCTGTGAGCACAGCAAATCTAGATGGTGGCTTCATCATGATTATTTCATTGGCACTGAAAACCAGATCCATATGGAAGGAAATATAGAAACAGTTTGCACTTTGAAACAAGAAAAGGAACGTACTGTGCAGCCTTAACAAAATTATCCAATCATAACAGTTCAATACAATTGAGGCAGTTCAAGTTGTGCAAGAAGAACCACTTGTTGAATCTGAATACAGAAAAGATGATATTTTGTTACTGTAAATTTCAAAGAATTAATTTGGAGCTACATTACAATTTCCTTATATTGAACGTGCTGGTACTACAACAATCCAATATATGTGATTTTCCATTTCCTAAAACAGAAGTTTCTTGAACAAAGCACAACAAAGACAGAGAGCATCAATGTGTACTTTCATAAAGTGCTCTTGGATTTAATGATGCACATAACACAAACACGATTTTATTCACAATTGTCATTTTTATGCTGTAAAATTTGCAATTATGTATATTTTAGCATATGTGCTACTATTCATGATTTATTATAATCTCTAATATCACTAGCTGTAAAATATATGTTCATTTCTGTACTGCAGGGAACCAGAGTTCTCTGCGTGACACAGAACTTTTGGTTGCTTTTTGAGTTTTTTGTACCTATAAAATATCCTGCCTATACGTATTGCAAAATAACTTGCTGAACATTTGTTGCATGTCTAACTGCATGTATGTGCATTTCTGAATTTGTCAGTTTCTGCTTCAGTATATGCATATCTTAAAAATACTGTAATAATTACTTCTTGTGTCAATAAATTTGGAAAAATATGTTACAAGTTCATTGCTGAAGCACAGATTTTTAAAATGTTGGAACTGAGATGGGCATTAAATAGCTGCTGGGTATGCTATTTCTGATACAAGCCAGAATGCCATTGGCCTTCTCGGCCACCTGGGAACATTGCTGGCTCATGTTCAGCCAGCTGTAAACTATCACCCTTAGGTCCTTCTCCTCCTTACAGCTTTCCAGCCAATCTGCCCCAAGACTGTACTGCTGCATGGCATCATTTTGATCAAAGTGAGGAACCCAGCACTTGGTCTTGTTATAATGTGATCAGGGCATGTAGAGAATCCCTTGTGTAATAGAAAGATAAAGCCTTACGATACCCACATTCCTGTGAGATAATAAACCAAACAATTGTAGATATCAAAGCCACAGTCAATCTAATCCTGAACACTTTAAGGGATGCACAACTTCTCTGGCCAAGCTCAACCTCTTCCAGTGCCTCACCATACTTTCTTATGTCCAATTTATAGTCTTGGTCTTTCATATTGGTCTTTCAGTTAATAGCCATTACACCTTGACCTGATGCTACAGGCCTTGGTAAAGAATCTTTCCCTTTCTTTCTTATAGGCTCTTAGTAATATACTGTAAAGCCCAATAAAGTCTCCCTGGAGTCTTCTTTTCTTCAGGCTGATCAACACTAACTCAACTTTTGCTCAGATTAGAAGTATTCCAGCCTTCTGATGATGATATGAGGAACTTCACTACTTTTACTACAGATATTCTTGTGTATTCAGAAAATAAAAGCTGTTCTAAAGCAAGTTTGAGTTATTGGGTTAGCTGTGCATTGCCAGGCTGGTATAGAGCTATAGGATGAAAAATAATGACCTAGTTTGCTGAGCTGCATATCCGAAGTAAAGGAAAACCTTATTTAAGTTCTAGTATGGTTATAAAACACATAGCAGAGCTTACCATTCTGTATGTAGTAAATTTAATTGACTGATTCTTAATTGCAGGCATAACCAATCTGCAGATATTGCTCTCATTGTAAGGGTTGTTGGGAAACCTCAGGGGTTACAGATTTAAGTTCATAAAGAAAATGAACCACACTTCAGACTACCTTACTAGTGAAATTCGCTGAGTTTTATTGTTTCTAAGTTGTGAATGTCCAGAACATTTAGAAGGGGAGGAATTATGCCCTCTGCTTCTATTTGTTTTCTGCATTACGTTTGCATACATTTCTTCATTAACATGTTATATATATATATATATATACAAGAATACAGGAGGAGTTCTCAAATACATTATGTAATAGGAGATTTAGAAACTTACATATATAAAAGTGGTGATTTATTCTTTTACACTTCGGCAAATATATCTAAAAATGGTTAACATTAAAAGAAAAATTGTATTGCCAAAAATAATTCTCTTCTGAAATAACAAACTGAAGAGTTGATGTGGGAGGAAAACCTAAAACAAACAACAAAAGGAAATGAGTGCCTGGGAAAATAGAACGGATCAAACCAAAACAATCAGGTTCAAGTTGCTAGAGTTTTTGTTTGGGTTATTGCTGTTACTGTTCTTGAATTTCAGCTTCAA